TAATTGAAAAAATGTCCGAATCATGTAACAGCAAAATTGTCCAATTGTTAAATTAAGCTCTGAAACCGTGATATCATAGAAATGATTTTACTGGAATTCTGAGCACTTTTATCCAAAAATATAGCACACCTTTTTATTATATACAGGGTGCATCAAAAATATTTTACAAACTTTAGGAGCGGGTTTCCCATCAAAACAAGGACAAAAGTCCATATAAATATATGTCGGCAAAGCCTTCGTTTTTGATTTATTAAGTTTAAAGTTTAAAGCAGACGTTCTTAAATGTACAATCCCAGATACATTCAAAATACTTTTACAAACTCTGGAGGCAGGTCCCTGCCACTAAAGCAAGGTAAAATGTCCATATTAACATATGTCCAAAATTCCATTGTTGTACCTTAACACAGCAACTCATAACAAATATTCAAAATATTCTACACACACATGCACCCGTCGGATCATTGAATGGTGGGCCCTTTCGGTGTAGAATGGTTTTGCAGGGCCCCGTGACTAGTTGATGAAGCGTTGTTGCATAAATCAATTGTTTCAAGTGGTCTCACAGATAAGAAGTACAATGAATTGAGGACAGGGGAATGTGCAGGCCAGGAATTCGTCCTGTCCTACCTATCCACCTTTCTTGGACAGAGCATCACGAAGAATGTGACTAAAATGTGCTGGAATCCCATCGTGCATAAATCACATGCTTGTTCGTATTAGCAGAGATACATTCTCAAACGATTCCGGAAGTATGTTGAAATAAAGCCCTTGTAGAAACCTCCTGTAAAACTTACTAGGAGAATATATTGACCTAGCAGACAGTCACCTACAATTCCAGCCTACACACTGATGCTGGTGTCTAGCCTGTATTGTACAATGGGGATTCAAACCCGCTTACAAATGTTTATGTAAATTTGTTATTCCATCTCTTCCAAATGTTGTCTCATCCATAAACAAGACCGAAGAGACAAACAATGGATAAGCATTTTGGGAAATAAAGTATCGGCTGTTCTTCTGTGGTGAGTGATCAGAGGGTGAAAGAGAGCCTGCACGTTGAAAATGATCCGGATATATGTGCTGCTCTTGAAGTATCCTCCATCACGTTTAAGGTTAGCCAATCAGATCACTCACTTTTGTTAAGACCTATGAAATGAACACTAGAGCCAGCTTGCTCTACGCCGTTATCGCCACAGTCCGTAGATAGCGAAAACAGCGAACTTCTTCAGCATATTTGGTCGCAGACACCATTAAGTTTGCAAGGACTTCTTTGTAATATTGTTACCTCATCCGTAAAAAGACTAATGAGACAAACAACTGATCGGCAGTTTGTGCAATAAAACACCGGCAAAAGGTCATCTGTGGTGAGTGATCAGTGGGCGAAAAACTCTGCACACGTTGTTGACCATATTCACCATAGTCTATGAATATAGAATACAGCGCAGTACGTAATCTGTTCAATGAAACAACGTTAAAGATTAACACTCACGAGTCAGACACTCTACTGAATCTGACTATATCACCAATACCATCAGCAGCTGTTCCGTAATTCTTCAAGTATTCAATATCAAAGGCTGGCCGTGAGTATTCTTTGAAAAGAAAAACATGGCCGCCTTTATACACGTCGCATTGAATATTTTGAGCCTTCTGATTGGTTAACCCTTCTATTGGTGAACTATAAAATGAGTCAGCTCATTTTGGCTGGCTCACTAATACACCAGGGTACACAAAATTTCCAACACACGTTGCAAATGATATGGATACAGGTGCTGCTTTTGAAATAGCCTGCTTGCGTTACTATGAGATATGCGACATTCTATGGTCATTTGATCGTCTCCGACAGCCTGTTGAATGTTCCTTGTGGTCAGGCGTATAATCGGCTCTCAATATTATTCGATTCACAGTTTGTGGTGCCACAGGTCCTGTCTCAGCAACGCGACGATAAACAGCTGCAAAGGTCGAATAACTCGGCTGCCTTCGGTTTGGAAACGCAATCCGATACAGCCGTGCAGCCTCATGTCCATTACCATTTGCGTAAAAGTCGTATCTGCCTACTAATATGAATATTCTGCAATTGTTAAACGGAACACTTCTCAGTTACCTCCTTACTACACACGTCAAACATTGAAGTCAGACTTGCCAGAAATGTATACGAATGACAAATGTAATCTAGTCTACATAGCAACACAGCGTCACCTACCATAAAAATGCTCTCAGCTTTAAACAAAATCATAGAATTAAAAACGAAATATACAACAGTGGCGAAATACCGGAGGACTTCACTAAATACATCTTTGTAATAGTATCTAAGAGGTTACGTGTAAATGAATGTAAGCTCCAATGGAATATCTGTTTAATGCGACACATAAGTAAACAAATGATACGAATCCTGATAAACGGAGCGCGAAGCAGAATTAGACCGGAAATAAGATAAGGACACCGGAACAAGAAATTAAAGTGATATCAGAAAGAGTTCACTTAGTACCTTATTATTTATTCAGAGTAATATGCAAATTACAAATTGGAGATACCAAAATCAAATACACTTTAAGTATATGTGATACTGAAATCCAAATGCGCCTTGGGATAACGAAAGATTCCTTCCAAGGGATAAGTAAAGTTTTAATAAAGAGAAAAAAAAAGAAAACTACTCAACTGCTATGTAATATCAGTCTTCCTATGTGGAATTAAAAGCTGTAAAATCTCCTCAAAGATGAAGAAGAGACTTGAAACATCAGAAATGTGGTTCTACAGAAGGGTGAAGAGAATAACGTGGCGAGAAAAAACGTTTTAGAGGAAATGGAAATAAAAAGGACACTTATACTTAACATCAGGAAAGAGTTGTAAGTTCTAGGGGACATAATGAGGAAAGGGGGCTTGGAAAATTTGGCACTCACAGGACAGACAGAAAGAAAGAGGGACAGAAGAAAACAACGCATAACCAACACAGCGATCTTGAGTAAATGGATGGGAGAACAAGATTTAGCAGAGGTGACAAAAAGACAAACACTATTAAGATCTACAAAGCACAGGAAATTGGGAATCTATAAACAAAAGCAAATATGTTATTTTTTTTCAAAATTTTAAAATATAAGTAATACTCATAAATATTCATCAAGGTATCTGAAAAGTTTCGATAAATTATGGAAGTTTCTAAGTGATATAAATTAATGACGAATAAACGAAAGTAAGTAAATGATGTTGATTTTTTTTTTTTTTATAAATTAATATTTACATTATTTTAGTATGGGATGAACTTATGGACTATATATATATATATATATATATATATATATATATATATATATTTAAATATCAGAAGGTTATGAATTTAACCGTTTTCTTTTGATTTCTTAACAGTTTTTAGTCACGTCTAAATTTAACGAAACCTGTCTTAATACATACATCTTACTTATTATAAAACACAGATTGTGTGTATGTGTGTGTCTGTACGTTTATATATTGGATCGGATTTCCTACATTTTCAACCGATTTCAACAAAACTTCACAGGACTACGTAAAGTTACCTTGCGGTGGTTCTGACAGCATAAAAATTGGAAAACACAATTGTTTTTGCACGAAATCAATTTGAAAACACGATAAAATACGATTCTCTCGCCAGAATGAAAGGGGACAACTCGTTAGTGTGTGTGTGTTAGTTTATATATGGAATCGGATTTCCTACATTTTTCAACCGATTTCAACAAAACTTCACTTATTTTGGCAGGTAGTGTTTCTTATTGTCTTGCACACTTTTTTCTTTACTTTTACATTCAGAATTCTTTAAAAATTCCATTTACAAGACAATTGTTTATAATAAAATTCTATTCAATCGGTAGACTCATAACGATTGAAAACAATGTATTTTTTGTTTGAGTTTGGGTTTGACCAATTCGTAAAAAAAAAAAACAAATATACAAAAAAAAAACTAATTAAGACATGCGTATCCGTCAACCTTAAACAATAATCTTTGTCAATTCTATTTTTCAGTCTTTATGATGGTCTATACTTGATCTATTTCTTACTGTTACATCCCCGGGCATCGCCGGGACTACTGCTAGTATATATATATATATATATATATATATATATATATTCAGTACAAAAAGATAAGACTAAAAACATCAGTATGGGTAAAAAAAAGTCTTCAGGGTACTACTGGACAGTAGTACCCTGATGATCCATGAGGTGAAACCTTGGTAGGTGGGTTCTTGCTCACTAGGATTTTTAGATTTTGCTCTACTTAGTGTATTGAGCGCTTTTCCGTTTTTACTTGATTTACTTTGCCGGTGTTTTTTTTGTTTTTTTGACTAGACATTGCAGTGCTGATTGATTATTTTTTACCCATACTGATTTTTTTAGTCTTATCTTTTTGTACTGAATTTTTTTCCCCTGATATGAGTTTGTTATATTTTTATTTACAAATTTTATTAAGCGGATTTTTCACATCGCCAGAGTGATAGATAGATAGATAGATAGATAGATAGATAGATAGATAGATAGATAGATAAGCTTGAGAAAGTAGTAATTCTTGTAGGAGGATTCGTAATTCTCTCAGAATCGCCTCGCTCTATAAGTTGAATAAATCTAGTGAGAAGACACAAGATATAGGTTATTGATTATTATTATATCCTTCCCAAATATTTCAAGGTTACATAGCAGTTCCAACAATTCTTTGTGACATACTTTATCAAATGCCTCTACTCTACAAGTCCAGCATTTGTATTTCAATTTCTGATATTATTCGGAGCATGAATATCGCGTTCCTTGTTCCAGGCTATTTTAAAGCCAGAAAATATTTTTATTTTTTAGGAATATTTTTTTTTGGCGGGGGAGGTACTAATACAAGTTCTACTATTTAACTCTGGTGGAAAGGCGGGGGTCCATACCTTTCCCAGGGGTATTTGCACGTAAATGAATATAACAATCCCAACTGGAATTGGAACTAGATTCACAGATTTCCAATTCCGAGCCATAATCCATTACATCAGCCACCCATCCATGTATACAGTACCTTGTATTTCCCAAGCGGTCACCCATCTATGAACTGATATGGCTCGACATTGCTTAACTTCGTTGATCGTACGAGAACCGGTGTTTGAACGTTATATGGCTGTAAGCCAAAGAATCTAAGAGAAAATGGCAGCTGTGCAAATAATTCATGAAATAAAGCAAAGACAAACAAGGTTCTTTACTTAAAGAATTCTTAAGAAGTTTGAATTTCAACAGAATTATCTGTTGATGTCCTCATCACAAATTCCTGTCCAATAATCGAACCAATGTGTTTGACTTTATTGTCTACGTGCTGTTTTTCAATTATTTCATCCGATTTGCTCGAAACAAAACAAATCTCTCACTAGAACATCAAAAAACGTAAAAATATAGAAACTCTAGTATAGTTCTGAGATTTCCAAAATGAATTTTTAAAACAAAAGTAATTCTCTTTAAAAAAAAAAAAATTATATATTTCGGCGTCCGGACCAAGATGCTTGTCTCCGCAAAAGTCTTCGATGTAATATGACCTTGCCTTGGGTTTTACATCACGTGAAGATACGGAATAAATAGCTAACTAAAAGATCAATACGTCTCCTGGTTGCGCAAATAAGTGATGCTTCACAAATTTAAAAATTTAAGTTTTTAGACTTCAAAGTGAAAAAGTGGCTGCAATATTCAAAAAGCAGCCATTTTATTCGCTCTTTTATTGGGTGTTCGGTGTTTGAATGATATCTGTAAGATTTAGGTTATTTATTTGACATCGGTTAGTTTTCTTTTCAGTCAGCGCTGAGAACACGCAAGTTGTGTCGCTTGCTTAAAAAAAAGAACGCGGCAAAACTTTGTAATATTTTAGAGTAAAACTTGAAGAAATGATTAATCATTTCTAACCATTAAGATCGTTACACTCACTCCAATAATTCATAGTACGCCTGATGTTATCAATTTACCAAGGGTTTACTTGTTTACATTCAATTTACCACGCCTGGCCTTAATTCACACACACACACACACACATATATATATATATATATATATATATATATATATATATATATATATATATAAGGCTCAAACATTAATATTCCATGGTTATAATTTATTACATTGAAATCGTAATCACGATCCAATTCATCAGACCGTTTTTTGAAATTGTAGGTCTAGTGATTTGGATCGTGATTACGATTCCAATGTAATAAATTATAACCATGGAATGTTTGGGCCTTTATAATATATTCTTGCTCTGCCTTGTTCATAGAGCTCTACCTGGATTTTATCCTATTCGAAATATATATATATATATTGACCACTAATATTATCAATTATCAATTCTCTCTCTCTCTCTCTATATATATATATATATATATATATATATAATTATCTTACTCTCTCTCTCTCTCTCTCTCTCTCTCTCTCTCTCTATCTATATATATATATATATATATATATATATATATGAAAGTAATGGATTTTATTTGTCAATTCATCGAAATTTTCATACTTTTCAAACTTTGCTTGGTGGACAAGGATCCTCCGTGGCTGAGTGGGTTAACGCACATAGTATCCAACGATAGTTTCCCTCTAAAACGAAAAACCGAAAGTGTAGTGTACCCAGTGAGGATCGAATTCACTACTCAGTCCTAACTGATATAGTGATACAAGTTTGCTAACCATTACACGACGTCGAAGTGCCCTAATAAAGATTTAATAAATGATTTTCTAAGCGTAGATTAGATGTGGCACAAGGCAGAAAGTGTGGAGCGCCCTGTGCGAATTGAACTTACTATTCTGTGGTAATTGCTTTAGCAGGACAAGTTTGCTAAACATTTAACTACGTCAAAAGTGTCTATTATAAGTGTTATTATACATACATCCAGCCAAGGAAAACAACGATTTCAGTAAAACAATTCTTGAAATCGATTTGAGGAACAAACATGCCCATGGGACCGACTTTACAAGACACTGTGTTTTGCCAACTGATTATTTTTTCTTTCTTTTTGGTTGGGAGTCCTTGCTTTTATTGGCTGCTACTTTGTGCAATTACTGCGCGTAATTACTTCCATGTATTACTAAAATCTTAACCTCTTCAAGTCAAGGGTCTGTCGTTATCTATCCTCCTCATCTGTACAATCTTCACTTCTTTCTCGCCACTTATGTTCACACCACATATAGAAAGCCTCTACCTTGAGTGGCCCTTGTAGTGAGTAAATTTTAGCATAAAAATATGCCTCGACAGCACCACATGCTTTTTCGAATCCAAAGTTGCCCGAGACTGGTTGCAAACCAACGCTGCAGAGACCACTCTCTTCTATTATTTAACCCATAAATGAGGAGCATGAGTCTGATTTCTACTTTACCCAGGCGCGAATATCACAAACTCGACCAAAATTTCGAATTCTTAAGGGTTTGCTAAAACCCTTTTTTATTTCCTTCATAAGGATTCAAGTTCGAATCATCGACATTATGTGGAAAGTGTAAATGTACCAAACTACTCGAAAAAATGTCACTATGTTTGATGAAATTCTTTTCTTAAGTCGTTGCACACCATAGCAATGCTACGTAGGTGAGATCTCAAGTGTTTGCCTTGATAAAAAACGAAAGTGGACTAGTTCGAGCCATTCAGTTCATTCTGATAGACGTCAATCGGGAAGTACTGAAAAGCGTCGCATCCAATCAGTTAGTCGTTTAGATAAAAGCTGAGGACGAAGTCTTTTGTGAAAGTTAATACAAAGCTGCCAAATAATGAATTGATCTTTCCTTTACTTCCCCTACACCATCGCCTCCAGCTTCTCTATTATATTATCATCATATAATAATTGGGCTTGTCCGGCTCTTCGTACGACTGTTACGCCCTGTCGATGTTTCATAAATAATGAAGTATTCCGCGTTTTGATCGCTTGGAAAAGACACTACTTGGTTTCAGTGAGAAAATGAAAGCAAGAAGGGAAAAGAGAGAGAATCAAATTAAAGTGATAGGAACAGATACTACACTTTGATCTAAGGCAAAAGGTCGAGTTGTATTGTCAACCGCGATAAAAGTAACATTTTTCACATACACAATCTCGAACGATGGAAACGAAGTAGGGTAATCGCCAATATTCCGTTTTGATCGAGTGGAAAAAGCGAAAAATACACAAGTTGGTTTCAGTCAGAAAAAGAAAGAAAGAAAGAAAGAAAGAAAAGACAGAAGAGAGAGGATCAGATTATGCTTATAAGAACAGATACTACACTTTGATCTTGGCCAAACGTCCATTGTATTTTCTTGCCGCCAACACAAAGTCAATTTAATGTGAGGAGCCCGAGCACGTGCACCTGGGCTAGGTCTAAAAATAGCCCAGCCCCCTGCAACTGCCGATTGTACTGACATCGGTATGACTACTGATCCCCCTTCTTTAGTGCAATGAGGGGAATTACTGCCGTGGGCAGCTGTTTCCCCGAAACCAGGCTCCTCTCAATAATATTTTCAGTCGTGCTCCTCCGAAGACAGAGACCCAATTGAGAAATGAAATGCAGTTTATCCACTCGAGAACAGATACTACACTTTGATTCCAGTCATGGCGACTGCGATAAAATCGGCATTTTTCACACACCGTCAAAAAATCCAGTTACCATAAATAAAATAACATCGTCTACTGAATTATTTTTAAATTTTTATAAAGTAAATGTTCGTAAGACGGAGATTTGGTTAGTGATTATTATTATTATTATTATTATTTTCGATTTCTGCTATCGTCAAAATAACTACCAGGTCTGCGGGTAGACCTAAGGCAGGCAGTGGTGTGTTGTTATGGCTATATTTCATGATTTGTTTTTCTAACTTCCATAACATCACTAGCGTTACATGGACAAAGTTCTTCTTAGTGTGTGGGCTGTACTTATCAAAACAATTTTTTGTATTTCTCTTAAGCTGGAATTTCCAGGAATTTTTTCAATGTGTTGTTGTGTTCCTTTTTTATCATTCCAAGCGCTCCTATTATGAATGATACTATTCTTGTTTTCAATTTCCACATTTTTTCTATTTTTTTTTTTTTTTTTTTTTTTTATTATTATTATTATTATTATTATTATTATTATTAATAATTAAAGAGTGAAGGAGAAAGACTGTACTCTAATCGTAGTAATGGTTTTGGCGTTAGGCCATTAATTATTATTATTATTATTATTATTTCGACTTCTGCTACAGTCACACTACCTACCAGGTCTGCGGTTAGACCTAAGGCAGGTAGTGGTGTGTTGTTATGGCTACAATTCAGGATTTGTTTTTCTAACTCCAATAACATCACTAGCGTTACATGGACAAAGTTCTTATCAAGACATTTTTTTGTATTTCTGGGATTTCTAGGGATTTTTCAATAAATTGTTGTGTTTCTTTTTTATCATTCCAAGAGCACCTACTATGACTGGTACTATTCTGGTTTTCAATTTCCACATTTTTTCTATTTCAATTTCCAGGTCTTTATACTTCGTCAGTTTTTCAAATTCCTTGGTTTCTATGTTACAGTCCGCTGGGCAAGCCATATCAATTAGTAGGCAAGATTTTTTTTCTTTTTGTTTTTTGACAATTATGTCTGGCCGATTTGCTTCAATCTTCAATGGTGTAATCCCATAGAATTATGATGTCTTCTATTTTTGTAACCGATGCTGGGTAATGTTCATGCCAGTGTTTATTAACATCTTTTCCAAAGTTTTTGAACATTGTCCAGTGTAAATATTGCCCCCCACTCTATCGTGACGATTTTTATATTCATTTGTTGCAAGTACAGAACATCCTGAGATTAAATGGTCTAGGGTTTCCTCATATTTCTCACAGAACCTTCATTTTGGATCCACACTATTATGTATTATATTTGCCTGAGAATTTCTAATTATTATTATTATTATTGCTGTTGTTGTAGTATTAAATAATTGTTTCGCAGACTATTATTTTTAGGGGGGAATTGTATCTCTGCTCGGACTTCCTGGGATTGACTTTCGATGTCAGATGGAAGACAAAACAAGGAAGTCTATTTTGATTGGCTGAACGAGCGTGGGAAAGGAGATAGGTGGGAAAGTGTTTTCAGGTGAGTTGATTCTTACACGTCAAGCAATGTAAATGTGTTTTTTTTTTCGTGTCTGAAACGGATCCCCAGTGGAGTAGGAAGCGATCCCACTGGATAGTTAGAAAATGTAAACGTCGACGGCATTAAATAAACTAAATAAGTTCAAATTATCTTTGTTGATGCTTTTAATCCCTGACTCAAAACATTTCGCGACCCCTACCGAGAGAAGACGAGAGAGAGAAGATACAATATATGAGTGAATCGACACCGTCGCCAAGACCATCCCCCCAGGCACGAGGGGGATATACAACAGTTGTCCAGTGAAAACGAGACATTGAAAATGATGGTTTCAAATTTATCATGATTGTTCTTGTGCTTGGCTTTTGCTTCGTGTAAGGGTTTAGGGCCATATCACGTAGAAACACCGGTATCCGTACGATTGCCGAAGTTAAGCAACGTCGAGCCTGGTCAATACCTAGTTATGTGACCCCTTGTGAATACCTGCTGCTGTAAGCTTGAATGTGCGGCTGGTGTAATGGGTAATGGCTCGGAATTGTTAATAAGAGAGCCGGGTTCCAATTCCTGATTGGTTCGTTATATTCATTTAAATGCAAATACCATCGAGAAAGGTATAAATCCATCTCTTCTCTCCCCAGCTATGGGCTAATTAGTAAGACTTGTATCACCTGACTAGTATTAACTACAAAACATTCTTGCAATCTAAAAATATATTCTGGATTCAAATAAACTGCAAAGGTTGATAACCCGTGAAAACGAATCAATCTTATTAAAAACTCAATAAGGATAATAAATCAAACGTACGTCCTGGTTAAAAATGAAAATAAAATATTTTTGTTGTATGTTTTTAATCTTTCACCCCAAGCAAGGCAATAAAGCCACTAAGACGCAAGAGGTTTCTGATTCTGAAAAAAACATCTGAAAAAAGAAAAATATTATTAAGGACAAATATTATTAAGGTTTTTATAAAGAACAGGAATCAAGAAGACAGAAGATAGCGATTGACATTGCATTTAAATTTTTGAAGATGAAATTTGGCTGGAAGGAGCCAGAAGAGAGTTCCACAATCGAAAAATACGGGGGAAGAAACTGTTACCATAGAACTTAAGGTTACATCTAACCATTTCAACGTTTGCATTTAAAACACCAACGTCTTCTTCTCTCGCACTTCCCGACAGTGGAACTCCCTTCCTCTTACTTGCTTCCTTAATAACTATAATCTTCAAATATTCAAATGTAATGTCAATCGACATCTTCTGATGTCTTGATCTTGATCCCCGTCCTTCTCTTTATCCTATCTTCAAACACACCTTTTTACTCTTACTCTTTGTAACATCTTGTGACACTCCCGCCTTGTTTGGTGGGAAATGCTTAAAAAAATAAGAAAAATAAAAATTATTACTGTTAGTATATTACTAATGTGTTTATTTTGTTTTGTTTTATTAACTTCAATCGGATTTTGATAAGAGAGGAACAAAACTGATTAACTCATTTTTTTATATGTTTAATTTTCCTCTTGCTTTTTAATATCTTATTTCAAATCTGTCCGTTTTACGAGCCATAATCAATGTGCACCTTATTTCATCAGGTGCACATTGATCTACGTAACCTTCAGTGAATTTCGCACTAAGCAGTTTATCGAATCTACAGGGGTGGGTAGATTTTTCTTGTCCCAATCAACATGTCTAGGAATATCTCGTCTAGACCAAGTACACACTGCCCGGCACAGCTATTGAACTGAATTAATATGTCACCAAATTCACGAACCAATCAAAGAGGCCTAAGTTTTTCCACTCAGAATTGTCCCCGCCAGAGAACTTGGGAGGTCTTAAACCTAACCTTACTGCTAATGAGGGCTTCTACTGGTACTTTTCACGCTTGACTCTATTCACCGAACCTTGGAACAAAATGAAAATATATTTGTGAAATTATAAAGGTGAACTGTAACGGTTTCGATCGAATTTTTTTTTTTAACTACAGAAAAATTCTTAGAAGGAGCTCATCTGTCAGAATTCTTTATAGTAATAGTAATGGTAATATTGTTTCCTTATAAGGAAGCATTCGGCATTTATTGAATGAGCAACCAGTGCCACTGTCACTTGAAATTTATAAAATCTTTTCTCTAACAATTTTTTTTAGGAAAATAGGTTTCTCAAGTCCAGTAGCTGTTATCGCTCTTTCCAGTATTGATGGGTCGTTTCCTTCCTAACCTTTTGTTTGAAGTAATGTGGAATGTCAACATCTTGATTATCTCACTATGCCCTTTTATAGAGGAAACGTACTTTTTCAGTTTGATTCTAAATTATCTCTGTTACTTATGGATTTAAATGTCAGTTGGATTCGATGCTGACTATATCGGTAAGGGCAACTCAACTTCTAACGAAGGCAAGTAATCAATATATGCCGTCTTTTATTGGAAAAGATCGACTTTGCATTGGTTTGTTGACATTTCTGTGACTCCGAACATCTTATAAAATGTCGGGGTTTTACCGCTTCCTTCCGTATGGACATGTTTTCGGTTCTATGCAAATCGTATTCTAGTTATCAACGGAAAGACTTTAAAACAATCTTTATTAAAACTAAACAACGACTCTTTTGTAGTAAGAAGAGAAGGCTGTGTGGACTTAATATAATCCTTTTTTTAATCATTTCACCCCAAAACAAAGCGATAATGCCACTGAGTCGCAAGAGGTTACTGGGAGTGAAAGAGAATAAGAAGACTTTAGTGTGGAGAAAGGTCAATAACAACGGCTTAAGAAGACACCGCATTTAAATTTTTGACGATAGTAGCTCGCAAGAAAGCAAGACATCGGAAGAAGATCCGCAGGCGAGAAAATAAACTATTAGAATAGAAGTTACGGTTAGATCTAGCTATTTCAACATTAAAATGATAAGATCTTCTTTGTCAATCTAGTAGTAGACATAAATACATGTACTCGAAGTACCATGGAGGAAAAATTATTAGAACTATTGCCATGAAATTATAGAAAAGACCGAGAGTAGCCACGTCGCGGCAGCGAGAAAGTGACTGAAATCAATATGACAGGTCAGGACATTTTTTTTTCAAGAATTCTCAAATATCACCGCAAAAAGACGTTCAAATTTCTCCTACAAACCTATGGTCCTCAAAGACGCGAGAAAAAATGATTTTAAATGAAAATTTCTAAAAATGATTAAAAAATGTAACTTTTACATAAAACCTATTTTGGTCTTTCTTCTTAATAATGACACAGAAATTTTGACGATAAAACTTTGTTTTTATTAAGTTTTTGGCAGCTTTAGAAATACCTACATTACAGACCGCTCTTTTGAATTTGCCAAAAATCTAGAGATATATAGCAGGAACATCAGACCTTATATAGCAACAGTGGAAACGTAAACAATATGTTATTGAGACGGATGCATTTTTACTCTTTATTTATTACTATGTTCTTTATTTTAATCATTGTGCATGAGACTTTTATTGATTTGGCTTCGATCGAACTCTGATGACTGAGATGTGAAATCGGTTAGCCTGTTCCAATTTTTTCTCGCCTTTATTTTTTTCTTTCTTATCATTGAATTAAAAAAAACCCTTGCACTGCCTGCTTTAAATACTTAATCTTTTTAATTGCCGGCATTGGCATCAGAACAGAAGGATTTTCATTCATGAAGTGTTGGATTAAATATTTTCCTTGGTCTTCGTTCTGTGGATTAAAGATGGGTTGAGTTTAGATTTTGTCCTTTCTATAATTCAAAGCTACCTTACTTAAGCCTCGGGACATTTCACCGTGTTAGTCCTTCACATTTGGCGGGAAGTGTAGACAACCATACACGTGATCTTCACGAGTTTTGTCCTTGGGTAGCAACTGTTAATTCTTATTTGCATACGCCTAGAAAGTATTAAAAATGGCTAATATTTCTTTCAAAATATTTCTATATTGACCCAGTGAATAAAAGCGTTCGTTGAAGTCATCAGTGACTTGACCCCAAGAGTTATGAATTCAATACCTGGCCACAGCAGAAGTGAACAAAAACTTGGACAGTTGAGTTACTAAAGGAAATAACTAAACTGAGACATCCAGAAGAGGAATGGCATGTGGAACTAGAACAGTCTATCCCGGTGGATGAAATAAAGGGTTCGGTTCAAAATTCCAATTCCCTGAAGTATAACGGCCGAAACGTCGTGGATATAATAACAAGATGAGGACAACAATGTAAATGTTTCGTTCAAACTTTGCTTTTGTGAGCAGGATAATGATATTTCTGAAATTGACCTATTCACATTGAGAAAACTGGCGAATGTGAACATTCTTTTAGGAACTTCTCGAAAGTTCCAGAAAGTTCAGCATCTCAGCGCTGAATCTGTCTGGAATGTAATGGAAAATAAATTAGTTTCAAAATATCGGTGTTCAGGTCACAAAAGCAAAATTTGAAGGGAATAATAGGCATTTTCTTTGCTTTTGGACCAGGAGTCGGCAACCTACGGCACGCGTGCCACAAGTGACACGCCAAGCAATTTACAATGGCACGCAACCGCAGATGACATCACAAAGTCCGAACCAGTAACTACTACATCGCAAAGAAGATATTTAGCTGTTTCAATTTTAATATATCCTAAAGTATATATACTATATATTACTATATAAAATATATTGTAGAACAGGTATATTGATCTTGACTTGTATAAAAATACGTATGTTGTTGGGACACTGAATGCTTTTAAAATCCTAAGTTGGCACATAATTATCAAAAGGTTGCCAACCCCTGTACTAGACAGAGGCAATTAAGAAATAATACGAACCATCAAAGACAGAAAAAAAGTCAAAAATTTTGTTACATAATGTTATTTAATATTATTAATATCAATTTATATTTTGTCAGTTAATAGCATTTATTGTTTTGAACATGGTAAATATTTTTATAAGCATTTTTCTAGCGAGACAATATTTATGATGGTTATTCAACAAAACATGCTAGAAATACTCTGGTTCGAATACGTGGACAATGACGAAGTTCTAGAGACAATGGAAATAAAAAGAAGGTATATGCATGATATCAAGAGGGGGCAATTGCAATTTCTAAAGCACATAATGAAGAAAGAGGGCTTGGAAAAATATTGATACTTACAGGACAACTTGAAGGCAAGAGGGACAAACAATGCATAACCAATCTCTCGATCGGGGCAGGGTTTTCAGAGATATGGCCAAAAGACAAAGTTTATTAAGAGCTACAAAGGAGAGGAAATAGCGGAGAGCCATGATCACCGACTTCTTGAAATGACACAGCACATAGAAGAAGAAGAATGAGCTTGACTAAATAGATGACGGAACAGGGTTTGGGAGAAATAACAAAAAGATGAAATTTATTAAGAGCTACAAAGGAGAGGAAATTGTGGAGAGCCATGATCGCCAACGTCTTGAAATAACACAGCACATAGAAGAAGAAGAAAAAGAAATTTGACTAAATGGATGGCGGAGCAGGGTTTGGGAGAAATAACAAAAAGATGAAATTTAT